GTTATATTTGGATAGTTTAATTACAGGTAGGTTTTTAGTATGAAATAGTTAATCTAACAGATATTCTTCCCCCCGCCCCACAGTTGGGCCTCTAGTTTATAGATAATGCCTTTTGATACTTGCCAGTTATATTTGGATAGTTTAATTACAGGTAGGTTTTTAGTATGAAATAGTTAATCTAACAGATATTCTTCCCCCGCAACCCCACAGTTCTAGCTTTTATTATTTTTTATTACTTTTTCATAACCAAAAGAAAGAGTTCACACACCCTTAAGAAAATGTTTTTAAGAAAAAGTACATAAATACTAGGTAATTGTGGTATGTATAGTCCTCATTGAACAGGCAACATTAGTTGGGGTGAAACTCATCAAAGTACAGTACTTTCAGGGTACCTTCTTTCTTTCTTTCTGTTCCCTGGGGGTAAGCAAGGCTACCATTAATGGAAGGAAAATATTTTCATTAGTATTCTTTCTTCTTTTACTGGAGATACCATAGAGGATGGGGTAGATAGGTGAATAAGAAAATTTATTGTTCTTTTCTTCCTTGTCAAGGCATGTAGGTTTGCTGACCAAAGCGCCTCATCATTGATATTATTTTCTAAGAAGCAATTTTAATGGTGATACTACAACATTAGATTTGAGCCAGACATTCTAAAACACTGTAGGTTGGTATATAATAACTACTAACAAAACAGTTATTCTTTATAACCACTTTTTAAGTTAACCCACAAATAAAAAATGGCATATTGTACTCAATATTTTGTGGGAGACTAAGATAAATTGCCCACAGATCCTATTTGCAAAGTCCATACAGTCTAATATAGGAGTAAGAATATGCTTAAAGAACCATAATATAGATAGAAAATAAGGAGTTACTGAAAAGTATACATTAAGGGCTGTGATAGGTGTTCAGAAAGAAGTGGAAGTAGAGATTGATTATTAGAAAAGATCAAGAAACTTGCATCTAAGGGCATTGATCCTTAAACGTTAGAATGTATTCCGAATCTTAAGAACTTTTGGAAGATGTGTTAAAAGGCACAGTTTTTGGCTGTACATGCCAACTTTAGATCCTCTAATTTTGTGATAATACCCAGGACTCCTCATTTTTAGCAAGAGCCTTGGCTGTCATATAAATTATAGGTGTCTGGGTCCCCTACCCTAAGACTGATTCATTGGTCCCTAGACATCTGTGTTTATAGCTTCATTAAGTTTAAAAAAATCAACAATATTGAGATCTCATCTGGATAGTATTTTCTCAGAGGTGGGGATGAGGGGAACTTATTTATTTATTTATTTATTTCATCCTCACCCGAGGATATATTTTCCATTGATTTTCAGAGAGAGTGGAAGAGAGAGGGAAAGACAGAGAGGGAAAGACATCGATTGGTTGCCTCCTGCATGAACCCCAACCAAGGCCTAGGCCAGGGAAGAGCTTGCAACCGAAGTACATGCCCTTGACCAGAATTGAACCCGGAACCCTTCGGTCCACAGGGTTCAATTCTGAGCCAAACTGGCTAGGGTGAGGGGAACTTATTTAAAATGCAGTTGCACAGGCTTCACTTCAGATATTAACAAGTGTTTGAGGATGAGGTCCAGTAATCTGCATTTTTATAAAAAAATTGATTTTAGAGAGGAGGGGAGATAGAAACATCAGTGATGAGAGAGAATCATCAAATGGCTGCCTCCTGTGCGTCTCCAGTAGGGGATGGAGCCCACAGCCCAGGCATATGCCCTGACCGGGAATCAAACCGGTGACCTCTTGGTTCCTCGATGCTCAACCGCTGAGCTACACCTGGCTGGGTGCAATCTCCATTTTTAATAAGCTCTCAGGTGTCTGTCATGCCAAGTGCAAGATCTTTGGTGTAATGTCTTAGAAGTATTATCAGCAGAGATTTTGAACAACCCAACATGTCTATAGAAGACAGGTGAACAAGAAAATGTACTGGAAGCTCAATTTTTTTTCTTTTTAAAAAGTGGTTTCTGTGTCTATATTAATGATAGACCATAATTACAAAAATTTGTTCACCCCCCACAAAGTCACTCTTATTTAGTATGCATTTATGACTCCAGATAACCAAAATATAATGACATTATTTTTGTTTAGTACTAAATTCTTTCTGATCAAACATGTCAGGGTCTTAGCCTGAATTTCAGTGGAGTAGAAATTGGGTGGTGGTAACAGAATGAGGTTACTAGCCTGGCAGTGATACTAAGAGTTACTTATGTTGGCACAAAATGCCTTCAGGTTTGGACTCTCAGGTACAGATGGGCGGGGGAGGGGTAGAAAGGCACAGAAGTGTTTCCTCTCTCAAGTTATTCCTTATTTTCAATGACCCAGAAACTCTGTCACCATCCTCAGGAGCCTGTAACAGAATATCCTTTGTGTTCTGCTCCCAAAACATTACTACCCTTACACCTATTGTTTTGCAAATGCAAAAGAAAAGAGCCCATTGCCCTACAGTAGTGGATAGTATCCTCTCTGTGAAAGGTCTTTTCTGCAGGATTTCCATTTGAACAGATCCCCTCCACCCTCCGCCAGTACAAATAAGGAAGAAAAAGATACACTCATGATTGTAAGACCCCAAACCAATTACTTCACTTTTAAAAAATTTACTTTTAGTATGTTTCATAGGCTCTTGGATACTATTAAATTAAGAGAAAAAAAATAAGGCCCAGGAGTTTTTCCTTTCATGAATTATTTCTTGTTCCTGGTGACCCAGAACTTGTTGTCCGGTCCTTAGGAACCTGTAACAGAAAGTTCTCTGTATACCTCTTCCAAAACATTGTTTTTGCAGATGCGATAGACATCAAATCACTGCTTTGCTGTCCAGTGGGCCAGATTCTGTGACAATCCTGGCCCCTTAAAAGGGTTGGATTTTTTTTCTTAAATACTGAAAATGTAAAAATTTTAGAAAGTACTCAAAACTTTTTATTTTTTAAAAATTTTCTTGCAGTCTATCATTGAACATATATTTTACATAAAATGTAAACATAGAATTTCTACTTTACTTATAGAAACAACTTCCCTATTCTAAGTTTTAATAGTTATAATTTTCATAATATGGTGATATTCTGTCATGTTGATATAGCATAATTTATGTGATGTTTACTTAGTATAGCAAATTTAGGGATTTTTAATTTCTTTCTGTTTGAAAAATTTGGGTTAGAACAAATTTTTTCTCTAAGTTAATTTTAGTATGTTAACTAGATAAATAACTGTAACATTTGTATAATTTCTGGTACTTTGTCCTAGTCTCTTTTGGATCAGTTATATCACTTACAGTGTCACCTACAATATATTACCATGCCATTAAGTATTTCAAATATTTTTCCCCTCAAATATCAAGCTGTAAACATAAGTTTAACAGAAAGCAAAAACTACCCAACATCTTATTACCTTAAATAATATTTATTGAATGGTTGTTTGGGACTGTATTAGGAATAATGCTAAATACTTATAAGCTATTTATTTAATTTAATTTTATACAAATCCTGTTAGATAGATTCCATTATTATTCCCATTTACAGGTGAGAAAACTGAGGCCTGAATGGTTGAATGACTTTACCAGGTCACCTAATCCTAGTCGATAGTAGGCTAAGCTAGTATTTAAACCCAGGTCTTATTCCAGAGTCTTATTCTTAATCTTGCTTCATTTCATAATGTATGTATTTTTCAATATTCATCTAGATTTTTCCATGTTTTATAGTTCTCATAATTATTTTAATGGCTATATTCTTTCATTGTGATAAAATGCTTACTTTATTAAATTGTTTTATTCCTAGTGAATATTTGGGCTCTCTAGGCTATTGCTATTACTAGATGATGCTTAATTGGTTTTTTTTCTTTATATTTACTTTTGTATTTGTGGAATTATTTCTAATAAATTTCAAGAAGGGAATATATAGATCACTTTGGGGTCTTGCATGTGTCTTGTAAAATATGTACTAGTCCTATATAATAAAAGCCTAATATGCTAAGTGTCTGGTCGTCCGTTCGTCCGTTCAACCAATCAAAGTGTAATATGCTGATGATATGCTAAGGCTGCTCAACCACTCTCTATCATGTGCACTGACCACCAGGGTGCAGACACTCCAACCTGTAGATTAGCTTGCTGCTGGGTCTGGCTGATTGGGACTGAGTGAGATGGGCCAGACACACCCTGGAGCCCTCCCGAGGTCCCTCCCTGGATGGCCAACCTCCCTGGCCCCGATCGCACGGGTGGGGTCCCTCATCCTGGCCTGTACCCTCTCACAATCCGGGACCCCTCGAGGGATGTCAGAGAGCCAGTTTCGGCCCAATCAGGCCGAGGGACCCCATTGGTGCATGAATTTGTGCATCGGGCCTTTAGTTTTATTATAATACTCCTTTTGTAACTAAGATGTTAGAGTTAATTGCTACAGACCCCATTGGTGCATGAATTTGTGCATCAGGCCTCTAGTTTTATTATAATACTCCTTTTGTAACTAGTCTTAAGATGTTTGAGTTAATTGCTACGAAGACAGAAATAAACATATTCTTATTTGGTTATATGTTAGTGCAGTTGAACATTTCTGAGTTTTATTGGTTACTCTGCTTTAGCATTTTAAAATTACTTAACAATTCTAATTTCTTCTTATGGTACATCTATATCATGAAATAGTATACTTTTAAAAGTCAAGATGCAAAAGAAGTCTAACATGACTTAAAAATGGGTACTGAAAAGCCAGAGATGCAGAAATGATCTATGTTTATTTCTGGGTAATTTAAAATTTTTAATTTGTACTTTTATTTAAAAATTCTAGTGAGATTTATTTTATAATCAGAAAATATTTATTTTTAAACTTGACTGATAGAATGGATGTACTTCATATTGAAATAAAATACACAAAATCAGAGCTAAGGGATCAGTTGTAAAGAAACAATCTGTCTTTCAATCTCTCTCTAATGGAAATAAGATTTATTTTAGCAGATAAATAAATTACATAGCTTTCTAATTTTTATTATCACTTTTTCTTTTACAGAGATGCTGTTCAGTTAAATGTGATCGCTACACGACAGCTTATTTTCCTTGCACAACAAATGAAGAATCTGGAAGTGTTCATGCATGTGTCAACAGCATATGCTTACTGCAATCGAAAGCATATTGAAGAAGTAGTCTATCCACCCCCTGTGGATCCCAAGAAACTGATTGATTCTTTAGAGTATGTTTGTTTGAAATTTATATACATTTACTTTGATCCTAAAACTTTGGACTTTGGATCCAAGTTTATTTATATGTATTTCTTGGTCAATTTCAGTTTCTCTCTCCCCATCCCTTTACACACACATACACACACACACACACGCAAACACACACACACCTACACCTCTTTTTTATTTAACAAATTATTACATATTTACTATGTTTTTTTATTGTATAGATTTATATCTAAATGACTGTTGGAGTGTGGAGCTTTCTCTTTTGATCAGGTGTGTTGGTTGGAAGTAGGCCTTTGAACAGACTCATCAATGATATTAGGGCCTCTGTTTCCCAAAGAATCAATCTTAGTGATTAAGTATCTGATACCATAGGGACTAATGACTGTCTATTCAAGTTTCTAATTTATTAAAAGATTATCTTTTTTATTATGAACCAATGGAGTATGTGTGTAGAGGTACCTTTAGTTATTAGGGAAATCAGAGGAGTCATGGTCCTTTAATTGATACTCTGAGTGTCACTGTTATCTTTCTAAGGACTAGGATCCTATCTACAACTATTACATGATAAATATTTGGATATGGATTAAGTGAAGTATGCTTATGCCATGGCTAAGGTTTCATTTGCTTTGTTCAGCCTGTGCTTTCTCGTCAGGTGAAACAAATAACACAGGATCAGAGCAAAAACAAAAATAGTTTTTCTTTTATAATTATAAAAACCTTCCAGTAGCCATCATATCTTCACATATTTGTTAATCCTCATATAATATTACTGTAGTCTTTTACTTCTTTTTTCTTATCTGTTTCTCCTCAGATCTTTCTTCCCAGAGATTCTATCACTTTCAGCTCCTTAGTTATTTCCTGCTTTCTCAGTCCAATTCTTTTTTTTCCCAAGAGTGCTATAGAGTGTTCTTAGCTCTTTCTCCAAGTTTCTCCTAAAATAGCCATGTAGGTCCTTTTCTTTAAAGCTTTTCTGCTAATCACTATGGGGAAGCAGACAGGTTATAACGAAATTAATAAACATGTGAGTTTACTAAGGCATTCTTAGGGTAATTCCCTGGTTTTGTTTTATGACTCCATTTCTTAGACAGTCCTAAATATCTACCTCATTTTCTTCTTAGGTCAGTAGGCAGAAGTTGTTAATATCTCTGGGAAAAGTTGAGTGGAAATTAATGAAGCTTTTTACTTTTTCTCTTATTAGTATTTAGTATATCCAAACACTTAAGTTGCTGAAAAAAAGAGCATGTAACCTAATTTTATATCTTCTTTCCTTGCTTACAAAGAAATCTGGCTAACAGATAATTTTAGGATAACTCATGGATTGCATCTGTCAATTCACATTAGTGATTAGGCTTTACTGGCCTAATTTAGCCAGTTTGTTGTTTTTTCTTTTAATGTAGCAACATCTCTTCCATATTTCAAAAGTTGTCTCCACTCTGGAGTTTTTCTAAGTTGATTAGCAACTGCCCTTCAATTTTATTAGTATTCTTTTCCTTTCATCCACATACAAAGGAAAATTTATCTTGATAATCTCTAATTTATGCTTCCTCATCAGTTAGCATGGCTGTCATTAGAGTGTGACAGTATACTGAATATACAGTTATGCATATGTAGAATTATAGACCAGGGGTCCTCAAACTTTTTAAACGGGGCCAGTTCACTGTCCCTCAGACCGTTGGAGGGCCGGACTATAGTTTAAAAAAAAAACTATGAACAAATTCCTATGCACACTGCACATATCTTACTTTGAAGTAAAAAAACAAAACGGGAACAAATACAATATTTGTATTTGCATGTGGCTCGCGGGCTGTAGTTTGAGGACCCCCGTTATAGACAGTAAGGGAAAAGTATCGGAAAATAAGTATGTAACATTGGAATCAGATATTTAGACTGGGAAAGACCATACATACCACCTAGTATATAACCTTCCTTTTACAGATTATCAGAGTAGACTTTTTCTTCAGATACACTGAGAAAGTTGTAAGGAATTTTATAATTTCACAGTAGGTTGCTAGTTGAATTTTTCCACTGTTTAAATAAATAAATACCTTTATTTATTTTTTAATTATTTGGACATTGATAGCTCTGCAAAATACTTCTCTCATCCCAAACCCTCAGACCCTATTAACATGTCCTTCCTAACGAAACAAAATATTCGTACTTTATACCCATTCACAACTAATTTTTAAAAATATGTAAGACTCAAAATCAAATATTTTTCTTTTCCAGAACTTATTAGTAATTTTTTATTTCCCTTTAATCCTTACCTGAGGATATGTTTTTACTGATTTGAGAGAGAGGAAGGGAGAGAAAGAGATAGAGAAACATTGATGTGAGAGAGAAATGATCTAGTAATTGATCAGTTGCCTCCCATAAGTGCCCCTACCAGCGATTGAACCCACAACCTAGGTATCCCTGACTGGGAATTGAACCCACAGCCTTTTGGTGTACGGGACGACCCTCCAACTAACTGAGCCACCTGGCCAAAGCATGAACTCATTAGTAATTTTAAACCACAATGAAACACACTTAATGGCATTTCCTTTTAAAAATTAGTTTATTAGACTATTTTATAAGGGGAAGAAATCAATTCAAGGCCTTAGAGAGAGTAGAATGTCCCTGTTTCTTAAAGCAAATGACATTGAAAAGCCCCTTTGCTCCCTTGGAGTTTGTAATTTCCACATTACCAACAGAATCAGCTCCCAAGTAGACTTTCTACTTCATATTAGGCTTTGCTTGGGTACTTTTGGACTGCAGCAGAAAAACTATGAAGTGTAAAAGGAGGGGTGAGTGGGAAGGGATAATTCCAGCACAAAAGAGGGACGAAGCTGGAATGAAAGTTTTCTGAGCAGCAAAATAAAAACAGCCAAATTCCTAAGACCCCACTTCTTGACAGGCTTGTTTGGGGTAGAAGATGGTAGGAAATCTCCAAGCTGCACTAATTTCTGGATGATGAATACAAGTGTCAGCCAAAATATTGTACTTCATGCCAGAGGCATGTAAACCACTGAGGTTTCCTGGCCAGTCCGGCTAGTTGGTTGGAGCTTTGTCCCATGCACTGAAGGGTCTTAGGTTCGATTTTTGGTCAGGGTACATACCTGGGTTGCATGTTCAATCCCTGGTCGACCCCGAGTTGGGACGTGTACAAGAGGCAACTGATCAATGTTTCTCTCTCTCTCCCCTCCTTTCCGCTCTAAAAATGAAAACAAAACAAAATATATCCTCTGGTGAGAATAAAAAACAACAAACACAAAGAAACTCAGAAAAACACTAAGAAGTTTCTAAAAATAATAGCTGCAGATGGAAATGATGCCCTAATTAAATTTTACAGCATGATTCATTTTATTTTATTGTTTACCTTAATTTCTGTTAGTCTCATTAGTGAGAGCATACAGTTTTCAGTAATATTGAGATTACTAGATCTTTTCTATTAATTACAAATTTATGTTCATTGCAGATGTGTATAAGTAATATGTTATGGTGCTTGGAATTCCTAATCTGAAATATAATTTCTGATCTGAAACCCATGGGTCCAGATATATTTTGGAATGAATAGTCACACTAAGTGAGTTCTCTAAAAAAAAAAAAAGAAAAAGATCATAAATAAGTTCAGATCAGCTTTACTATCTACCAATATGATTTATGAAAGAACTCTAGATTTTTGGACCTTTTTGTATATAGAAATTGGGTATAAGATATATGGACTTGTATTTGATGTATAATGAAAGGAAGACTAACTTGCATATTTTTAGTAAGAGTTGTCAAATCATTTGGGTCAGAGCAACAGATATGTTTGGATATGCAAAGTAAGGTTTTTAAATTTTATTTTATAGTAAAACATCTGAAAATATTTTTGCATGCTTTCTTTGTTTACCAGATGGATGGATGATGGCTTAGTAAATGATATCACGCCCAAATTGATAGGAGACAGACCTAATACATACATATACACGAAAGCATTGGCAGAATATGTTGTACAACAAGAAGGAGCAAAGCTAAATGTGGCAATTGTAAGACCATCAATTGTTGGTGCCAGTTGGAAAGAACCTTTTCCAGTAAGTTGTTAGAAATCTTTTAAATAATTGTAATTGAAAATTTTAAAAGAGTTGGCAGTTTTTTATTTAAGAGCAGATGTTATTCACTAAATATGACTTGATATGGCAGAGCTGTTTCCATTCATAGAAAGAGTCATATTTATTGGTACTTTTATTTATAGTATAATGTTTGTTTAGGAATGCAGATTAACATTTTAAAAGTCTTAATCGGGACTATGATGTTATCTCGATCAAAGGTGATCTTGCTCTATATTTTTTCTTTGTGATTGATGAGCTTGGACTTTTGATACATCAACATTTGTTGGCTTTAAAAATTATTTACTGACTAGTGACCCAGTGCACGGATTTGTGCTCAATGTTTCTCTCTCTCTCCCCTCCTTTCCGCTCTAAAAATGAAAACAAAACAAAATATATCCTCTGGTGAGAATAAAAAACAACAAACACAAAGAAACTCAGAAAAACACTAAGAAGTTTCTAAAAATAATAGCTGCAGATGGAAATGATGCCCTAATTAAATTTTACAGCATGATTCATTTTATTTTATTGTTTACCTTAATTTCTGTTAGTCTCATTAGTGAGAGCATACAGTTTTCAGTAATATTGAGATTACTAGATCTTTTCTATTAATTACAAATTTATGTTCATTGCAGATGTGTATAAGTAATATGTTATGGTGCTTGGAATTCCTAATCTGAAATATAATTTCTGATCTGAAACCCATGGGTCCAGATATATTTTGGAATGAATAGTCACACTAAGTGAGTTCTCTAAAAAAAAAAAAAGAAAAAGATCATAAATAAGTTCAGATCAGCTTTACTATCTACCAATATGATTTATGAAAGAACTCTAGATTTTTGGACCTTTTTGTATATAGAAATTGGGTATAAGATATATGGACTTGTATTTGATGTATAATGAAAGGAAGACTAACTTGCATATTTTTAGTAAGAGTTGTCAAATCATTTGGGTCAGAGCAACAGATATGTTTGGATATGCAAAGTAAGGTTTTTAAATTTTATTTTATAGTAAAACATCTGAAAATATTTTTGCATGCTTTCTTTGTTTACCAGATGGATGGATGATGGCTTAGTAAATGATATCACGCCCAAATTGATAGGAGACAGACCTAATACATACATATACACGAAAGCATTGGCAGAATATGTTGTACAACAAGAAGGAGCAAAGCTAAATGTGGCAATTGTAAGACCATCAATTGTTGGTGCCAGTTGGAAAGAACCTTTTCCAGTAAGTTGTTAGAAATCTTTTAAATAATTGTAATTGAAAATTTTAAAAGAGTTGGCAGTTTTTTATTTAAGAGCAGATGTTATTCACTAAATATGACTTGATATGGCAGAGCTGTTTCCATTCATAGAAAGAGTCATATTTATTGGTACTTTTATTTATAGTATAATGTTTGTTTAGGAATGCAGATTAACATTTTAAAAGTCTTAATCGGGACTATGATGTTATCTCGATCAAAGGTGATCTTGCTCTATATTTTTTCTTTGTGATTGATGAGCTTGGACTTTTGATACATCAACATTTGTTGGCTTTAAAAATTATTTACTGACTAGTGACCCAGTGCACGGATTTGTGCACATTGAAAGGAAATTAATTAGAAGATGGCCAGTGGGATGCAACTGGGCAAGATGGGCCAGACACGCCCTGGAGCCAACCTTCCATGGTCCCTCCGGAGTAAGCAGTGTCCCTCCAGCAGGTGGGGTCCGTTGGTCTGGCCTATGGGGATCAGGCTGAAACTGGCTCTCGAACATCCCCAGAGGGGTTCCAGAGTGAAAGAGGGCACTCTGCAAAGTTGCTGTCATACAGTGTGTGGAACGCAAATGCAAGTGAGCAGTAAACCAGATTCGAGGCCGGCAGTGCCCCAGCAACAGCATAACCCATGGCCAGAGGTAGACTTGCGCGGCCCTGCGAGGAATCGGGCTCTCTCCTCTCTGGTTTTGGGGTGCATCACCTGAGAACCTTTGCTGCCAAGTCACTGCAGCTCGGCAGTTCCTGCATTGAGCATCTGCCCTCTGGTGGTCAGTGTGCATCATAGCAACCGGTCAGACAGGCAGAGGGACACTTTTATATATATATATAGATTAGCTTCCCTTGCAGAAGTGAAGGGAATAGAGATGAAAATATTCAGGATCTTATTTTATTTCATTTGCTTTTTAGTACCAAAAGGAGGCAAGCCTCCTAAGAGGTAGATGCTTCCCTGTATAGATCACAAGCTAAGAAAGATATGAGAGAGTTCTATGATATATAGGAAAGGAAGGCATTACGGTATTTCTGAATCTCTGGAGTAAGAGCAAACATAGATATAAATTAACAGACAAGTTGACTTAGGAAAAACCTAGGTTTCTATGATAGTAAGTGAATGCCTTTTGTTGCTTTGGCAATTCTGTTTTCCTCTGTTTTATTCAGTAATTTTGAGAATAATTTACCAAACTTGAACAGGCTTTGTTTAACAAAAATATTTGACAGGTATAAACTCCTTTTTGTAAAATTCTCCTTACAGAGAATTAAAAGAAGAGTAGGTAACCCCTTGAAAATGATTTTACTTAGCCATTTGCAATCTCAGAGAAAGATTGCTTCTATTTAAGACGAGGAGAAATAGTCTGACCTGAATGTAGTCTAATTTTTGGTTTTTAGAATAAAATTACCAAATATATGTGTGGAATTGCAGATTTCATGTAATAAATCCCAAGCTTCATAATATTTATAAGCTTCCTACTTTTTTTCTTTTTGGTATTAGGGATGGATTGATAACTTTAATGGACCAAGTGGTCTCTTTATCGCGGTAAGTTCATCTTTTGATTTATTTAATATTCTATATTTTCTTTTGTTTTCTGTATACCTTTATATACATATATGCACTCTGATTTATGTATCTTAAGGTGTTGTTTTTAATTTTAACAAAGGCAGGGAAAGGAATTCTTCGAACAATGCGTGCCTCCAACAATGCCCTTGCAGATCTTGTTCCTGTAGATGTAGTTGTCAACACGAGTCTTGCAGCAGCCTGGTATTCCGGAGTTAATAGGTATATGAGGTGACAATGTTGCTTGTTAAATTTATAGTAACTGAGAAGGGAAAACAGAGCTACTGACTAATATTAATCCCTCAATCCTGACATTCCCATATCAATATATAGGGTGTCCCCAAAAATGTATACATTGAATAATTAGGAAGGCAGTTTCATTAAAATACATTTCATTTTCAAAATTAAGCTATCTGCTGTTAAAGTGTGTATATATTTTTTTGGGACACCCTGCATATCAATTCCAATTGGCTTATTACAGGCAGTAATAGCAAGTGGTTCTGTCAGCAGTAATTACGAGTTAACATGAACTCTCATGTACTAACTATAGGATAGGCAAGTTAATTAGGTAGTAACAATGAACCCACCTCCAACCGATGATTTTTTTTAATCCAAACTAAAGTGTGGTATGAACTTGGCATAAAGAGCTGAAAATTCACAGAGAATGGTTTATATAAATCAAACATACCACACTAGAGCAGCTTTAATCAACTCATGGAGCCTCCTTTTAAAATGTGGTAGCATTACAGGTAACACCTAAACTTTGAGCTATTCATTAACTTTTGTTTTCTAATGAATAAACTGCCGTTATTTTTGAAGTCAGTATTTTTTATGTTTTAAAAAAGGGATATTATATGAATATATGGTTTCTGATAAAAGGGAATCAGTCCATGATATTTTCAAATAGAGCCTCTGAAAATGGGAAGGAGATAGGAAGATCTGAGATTATTTGTTGTTTTTCTTACATTTATTTTGTTAATCCTCACCGGATTTTCCATTGATTTTTAGGGAGAGGGAAAGAGAGAGAGAAACATCAATCCATCGATTGGTTGCCTCCTGCACAAGCCCCAACCAGGGCCCAACCTGCAACTGAGGTACATGCTCTTGACCAGAATCGAACCCGGGACCCTTTGGTCCGCAGGCCAACACTTTATCCACTGAGCCAAACCGGCTAGAGCGTTTTCCTTACATTTAAAAACGCACTTCTACTCATACAAGGAATAAAAATATAAAAAGAGAAAAAGTCAGTATTTTTAAAGTAAAAATATTGGTAGGGGAGGGGAAAAAGTCGTAAATCTTTTAAGGATAATTTAAAAAATGTAGCAAAGGTACCATCCTTATTTTTTTCTACTTGAAATCATGTAAGATTTAGATTGGACAAGTTTGGCCTCTTTTTATCTTTCATTGATTTCATCTTTGTTTTTGCAGACCAAGGAACATCATGGTGTATAATTGCACAACAGGCAGCACTAATCCTTTCCACTGGGGTGAAGTTGGTATGATTTTACTTGTGTTTTTGAATGTTAGAATAAATCTTAAAGAACTTAAAATATTCTCTGAGTTTTAATGTCAGAATAACCCATGAGACATTAAGGCCATTGAGTTCCAAATTTAGTCTTATTTTAATTGCCATCTTAAGAATATCTACCAATACTACCTTGTTCTTAATAGTGTTTTCCAAATTTAAAAATATCCTGCTGTATAATCCCACCTTGCCCCACCCTTATCTGACCCCTACTGTTTTTCTGTTGCCATTTGCAGCAACCCTTGTAGGTACCTGTGGCATTGAAACAGCTTTTTTCTATCGTGGGCACTCTCGGTGCTGATGTTGCCTGTCCGTAGGCAATAAATAGCAGTAAATAGCACTTCCAACTACAAGAGTTGGTATATCTCAGGAACTAGCTAGTGGCCCAAAGAGTAATAGAGTTAGCAAGTAGGATGGGTACATTTTGCCAAAATAATTTCCTTAATCTATTTAAACTTACAAATTTATAGCAGGTAGTGTGTATGCTAGTATAACTTTAAAGCCTACTGAAATTGAATTATTTTTAAATTGTTAGTTTATGTTTTAAAATTTAAAGTAAAATATATTTATTGCATTGATTTAGTAATAGGTCTTATTTTACCTTTAATTGAAAAATTTTTGTTATCCTTGTAAATCAATTTTGATTTTAAAGCAAATCTTTTATGTCCTTTATCCTAAGGTTTTTCTAGGGCATTTTTATTTCAACTTAAAGATTGGCCATTAGAGCACAAAAGGGAAAAAAAAAATTAGGGAGATTTTAATTTTATGATAATTATTTAAATAAAGTTCTTTTAATAATTTTAAAACACTTTAAATATGAGGTGTTGTTTTATAATCTCTCATTATGTTCCAAAGTTCCTTAAAAATTAAGTTGAACACTATTTTTTTAGTGAATATCTCAATATACATTTTCATTGAAGTATTAACATAGATGATTATAGATTTGATTGTGTTGACATTGCATAGACTAAAATTATGGCAGAAGTTAATTTGGGTTGTTTTAAGGTGTTGATGTATGTTAATTTGAGCAACTTAATTATTCATAAGCAAAGGATGATGATTTTTCTTTTTTAAGTAAGTACTATAATAAGAATCTGAAAAGAGGAACAGAAAGAAAGAAGCTATTGTGAGAGGTGAAATAGAGAAAGTGACATTGTAAACTGACATTCGTAAAATATTAAAAGCATTTTTAAGAGTAAATTTTAGCAAAAATTCATCTAAATAAAATTCATAAACAGTGGCAGTTCTAAAACCAATTGAGTTCAGCAGTCTAATACTCATATTCTCTTAGCTACTTTAGAGAGTAGAAAAGTTTGTCTTTTAAATGAGTGAACTCTGACATCTTTGGTAAAATATTTTGCTTTGTAAAATACATGATTTTTTTTCAAAACTTCATTACATGGTTATTATCAAAGCTGTTACACAACTTTTCTTCCTCAGAATACCATGTAATTTCCACTTTCAAGAGGAATCCTCTCGAACAGGCCTTCAGACGGCCCAATGTAAATCTAACCTCCAATCACCTTTTATATCATTACTGGATTGCTGTAAGCCATAAGGCCCCAGCATTCCTGTATGATATCTACCTCAGGATGACTGGAAGAAGCCCAAGGTAATGGTGACTAGCTCTGTCTTATCTGTTCCTCTGACTGTTAAACAACCCTTGCTTACACTAAAATGCCTATTAACTCTGTATTTGTTTATGCTTATAAGGCTTAATGGCCTTTTATGAATGAGAAGACTTGAACTTAAGATTTTGTCAGAAAAGCAAAGGTAGTGTTGTAATTCACTGTAGTTTATTCTGAAGTTTCGATGATAAGTTATCATGTGCTAAATTCTAGGTCTAACTTTAGGTATTTTTTTCTGAATAACAAATAACATTCAAAATGCTTTGATGCTTATTTTCCCTACAGGATATTATCTAAATCATTTCTTCAAGATGAATCCTTTAAACCAAGTATTCAGGCGCCCCAATATTAAGTTGTATTCCAACAACTTATTGCTTCATTATTGGAAGGGTGTCAGACATACAGTACCTGCATTATTGCACGATCTTGCACTCAGGTTGACAGGTCAGAAACCGTGGTAAGAGGAATAGCAGTAAATACACTATGTATTGGTAAGGTGGTGGAAGCTTGCTGGAGAGACGAAAAGTCGCTAGCATGAGCTTTACCTCTAGAATTACTAACCTGATTAATCACAATCACAATCAGGATGCTAAGACATTTCTTAGAAATTGGGGATATTTGGGAAAAAAGTGGTTTCAGCTTATTGGGCCATTGATCCTCCAAAATCCCATAATGTAGGAAATGTCCAACATCAAGGTTGTCATTGCTATTATAAGCTGAAATTGAGCTCTTCTCTTCCCCTTAAAAAACATAGGGGTAGTTTTATAGGGGTTTAATGTTAAATTGTTTTGCTTTAAGTAGATTGTGCAGTTTTATATGAAAAATGTAGGATGCTTTTAGAAAATTGCTTGAATTGTCTCAGCTGCCCATTCAGCTTATAATATGTTAATTACAGTTTTTGACTAATTTCCAGGTTGAGAATATCATATTTTTTAAGAAGTTAATAACAAATGGAAAACTTTCTGTTTTCCGCTAGTTGTAACAGCCTTTCTTTTTGCTTTCCTTTCTTTTTTTATTGAAGCTCCACAAACTTACATAAAGTCCTCCTGTCTTTCCCAAAATTATAGTTAAATGTCCCATAAAATATGTTTTAACTACGTTGGCATTACAGTGGAGTCTCTGATTGTAGAGTTCAGGATTTGAGTATTTGTGTATAAAGAAGGTAAGGTTCTGATTCCAAAACTTGCATCAGTTGCTCAAAAAGTAAAAGTGAAGTATCTGCCAGTTATAGTGTATCAGGATCTGAGTTACTTGTAGGGATTTTCTATAGATTCAGTTGTCCATTATGTTTCTAACTTTTAATGTTAATATTGAAATATGTGAGAGGTGTTGAACAACTTTAGGTAAAGAAATACTTAATGGAAAAAAGGCCCACAATATTTCCAAGATATTTTCAAATTTTCTAGAATGATCTGAAAAGTACAGTATTTGTCATTGGCAGCATTCTTTGTGGCTAAAAAGTAGATGTAAATTTATGAGTGATGGCAGTGCATACTTTCTTGATATTAATAAAGTTGTTGCAATTTAGAACAGAGAAGTCACAACTAGGTCAAAAAAGTAAAACAGGTTAAATATATCACAATGCCTTACAGAAAAATGGGGCTTAGTAAACTTAAAAATGAGTGAGTAACCAAAGTTTATTAAATAATTTGCACTAGATGTTGCTACATAGCAAGTCATATCATTAATAGTGGCTTAAAACGACAGCTATAATTTTATTATTTTTTTCAATTTATTATTTCTCTTAGCTTGTGTTTATAATAGTTGCCTTCTTAACCTACTTCTTGCCCATAAAAGGTTGGAAGCCCCAGGGCAGCGATCAGCTTCTGTAAAGGGCTGTATGGTTCCTGTTGCAACTACTCAACTCTGCTGTTAATTGTAGCCTCCACCTTGCAATTACTCAATTAGACATTTACAATTACTCAACTAGCTATCCATAGACAATATGCAATTGAATAAGCATGAGTGTTCCAATACAACTTTATTTACACGAACAGGTAGATTTGGCCCCAAGGCTGTGGTTTGTTAATCTTTGATCCAGAGGCCTCTTTTCATTTTGTACTATCTATGTCCCTTTCAGTGTAAACTGATATGATTCCTTTTAAACTTGTGGGTTTCCCATATATCTATTTAAAACAATCTCCATTAGACCAAAGCCATACCCACAGATCTCTTTGAGACATGTCCATCTCTGTCTTGTATGAGGTTACTATGGATGGGATAACTCCCTTACATCTTAGATTCTTGTCTCTTAGATCCTTAGACTAGCCTCTTAGTTCCTGCCTCTTTAAACAGTAGGGCTTCTATAAGACATTTCTCTAAGATCTGGAATAAGCCTTTTGTTAGAAAGTTTCTGTGAGGTATGTTGAATTAACTCAAAAAGAGTCTGGAGGCTTTGGCTAGAAATAAACAGTAAAGACTTATTCAAGGGTTTTAGGGTTTACAAACCAGAAACACATAGCTAGGCAATACCCAGAACATTTTGAAGAAGAAAGAAAAGTTTAAAGATTTTATAGTAAAAAGTACATTCTTGAGAAGAATCTGTCCTGCATTCTTAGCCCTAGGATTGGTCCAGGATAGTTATTTGTCAGATGTTGGTTGATCTGGCTAATGGATGTCAGGTGGTCTGGATATGTGACTTTTTCAGGGGCTAATCAGAGAGTTGTCTGAAGGTCTGATTTATGTCCAGGTATTGACATACAGAAAGTTGATATATATACAGGCATTGACACAGGACTGAAAAGTTCAAATTTTAAGTTCCCAGACTATTTAAAACAAGAATAGAATTGTTTTCTCATGCCTTAACCTACTTGGTTTTAGTAATTTTGAAGCTTGACTATAGCAATTCCATTTTATTTATTTATTTTTTAAAATATGTTTTTATTGATTTCAGAAAGAGGAAGGGAGAGGGAGAGAGAGATAGAAGCATCATTGATGAGCAAGAATCATTGATTGGCTGCCTCCTGCTAGCCCCCCAACTGGGGATTGAGCCTGCAACCCGGGCATGTGTTCTGACTGGGAATTGAACCATAACCTCCTGGTTCATGGGTTGATGCTCAACCACTGAGTATACTGGCCAGGCAATCCATTTTATTTCTTCACTCTGTTTTCCTCAGGTACTACCTTAGATCTTTTTGAGGTATTAACCAAAAATCTTACATTTGCATCCTGGATTTGACCCATGCCCAGAAGCCATTCTGGGCTCTTTCCACCCTCTTTCTTTCTTTCTTTCTTTTTTTTTAATAT